GGGGGCAGCTGCCGGCGGCGGGGAGAAGGGGGGCCGCCCCCCACCCCTAGGGTGACCTGTGCTGGAAGGATGCAAAAAGTCCTCGCCTTAGCGGGAATAGGAGTTTTCTTAACAGAAACACTTGTTGCTATATTGGGGTGGAATGGAAATACCCAGGGCAACATGGCCCGGCCCCTGAGGCTGAACCCAGCACTGAGGAGTCTGGTCCAGGGCCTGTAAAAAGGTGAGAGGAGAGCGGTGCTGGGGTTGGGGCGTGCCTGTGCCAGGCCTCGGCCTGGGCTGCGCTGCTCCAGCTGCATGGAGCCCAGAGCAACATTTTCTCATAGGAAGAGTCGCCGACATCTCGCCCTGTGTCGATGGGCCGGAGTGGGGTTGTAACAGCATTCCCATCGGCACTCTCCAGCCCCGCAGCTGGCTTGCTCTCGGGGAACGCAGTAGCATCTAGGCAACAGGCAAGAATGAAAACGCGTTCTCCCCTCCACACACAAAAAACCACAAGGTTAATAGGCTGAAAGAATGAAAAAAAAAAAAAAAAAAAAACAAACCTCTAAACACTGTCAACTGGTGCTTAGGACACAGAAGCAGGAAAGCTGTGTTTCAATGAGAACTGCAAGACAGACTGAAGACTCTAGCCTTTCCCATCATTTGCCAGTAGGAGCCTTCTGGGGGAGACGACTCTGATCCTGGACTGAGTCCTGGTTCCCAAACAAAACCTGTCACCACCCTAGCATTATACAGAAGGTATGCTTCCTTGACCATCAGTGTTCTGCAACACTTTGTGTTGGAAATGCATGTTTTGAATTGGCCCTCGCAGGGAGGTGAGCAAGAGTGGGAAGTGGCTGGATCTCAATAGCTCCGTTGCTTAGGCAAAACAAGGGTAGTTTGAGTACGTTTAGACAGCTGCTGCACAGGGGCTTTTTGAACTGCAAGAGGGCTGGCCTGTTGCGGATTTATGTCCTTTGTTCCTGTAATCCCTTCATCACAACCAGCGCCTTCATCAAGAAACACCAGTGCTGACCAGCGGCAGCTGGATACTCGAGCATCTAAACTTTGACAGTCTCTCTTTCCTGCCTCAGTTATTCAGACAACTGATTCACAAGAACCTTGGTCTCCAAAATCCTTACCCATCTTCAAATTTTAAATAAAACTAGCCATCAGGCCTCAAAGTTACATGGGGTTAAAAAAAAAAACAAAAACAAAAACCTAAGAGGTTTTCCGTTTACAAGCAGAACAGTAGAAATCTCAGTTGCTTAGTAAATGTCATTTGCTTCAGATGCTTTACCAGCATCATGGACAACACAGTTGTTACTATATCCATCTAACTGTGATTTAGGAATACTGTTCAAGCAACTATTTGTTGAACTTCTTGGAGAATATTTTACTTAAAAAATAAAAAAACAGCTAAGTTTCTGTGCAACTTTGTGAAATGCAACCCTTCTAAAAAATCTTCCTGCTGTTCTACAGGTACAAAACAATGAATTGAGGAAAATTAAGGAAAACAGGAGCAAAAAACCTGAATATATACATATCTCAAGTGCAAGGAATCAAAGTTATGCTGCTGATTCATGGAGATACAATTAAAAAGACTTAGAACGATCACACTAATAAAGGCAAGTCAGCAAGTCTCCCTGAAGAAGAAAAGAAGTATTCTGCAGGAAGCAATACTGAAAACAGCTGTGAAATCACGTTTTCTGATCTTCACTGTCAAGTAAGAGACCAGAATATACCAGCTAGGCTCTGCAGTGCTAGGGACACACTTCAGTTCTGCTGAAATCTAATTTTCTTAGAATCTGGATCTGAGTAGGAGCCTTGCCTTTTCAGTTCTTTGCGTTTCTTTTCCCATTTTCAGCTTTTCCCAACACCTCCACTACTCAGAATCACCATGTAGAAAAATACAGCATGACCTCAAAGGGCCAACATACAACAGGTGCTGCAAACATATTTCAGGGAGATAGAGGAGACATTAAGAGCATCTAGAGAGAGAAGAGAGGAACTGTGTTAGAAAGTGGTCACATCCTAAGAGGGCAGGCAAAGAAACATGATACAGGATCAACTGGATAAACTCCAAAAACCCTTCCGTAAAGCAAAGACCACAACAGAGATGTAGAAGCTGAAACGGAGCTACCAAATTTAACATCTTTACTGTAATTCAGTTGTTTATAAAATAAACCCAACACAACTATTTTCTTGACAATAAGGAAAATAACTATGCATTGATTTCACTGGATTTCAGCATTAACTCATCTCCACCCCAAAGAAACAATTTTTAAAAAGGCTTTGTTGTTTTTTTTTTTAATAAATGTGCTTTGTTCACAAAAAGTAGTGACATAAAGACAACAGAAATGCGAATACACATTTTTTTCCTTTTCTTCTCCAGCACCTTAAGAACAGATCTCTTGCACAGTCATAACTTTCAAATCTCTCATAACCTAGAGCATTCTTCTTGCACCAAAGCCAAATATCCAACAACTCCTGATATCGCCACTTTATTGTTCAGGGAGGTATAAATATTTATGTAAATTCCACTTTCTTCCTTCTCCACAATCAACTGTCCCTTGTTAAAAAAAAAAAAAAAAAAAGAAAAAAGGAAAAAAAGGAAAAAAAAAAAGAACACTTCAGGTATTTAGAATGAGCAGCAAGAAAACCAAGCTGTTATGAATCTCAGGTCCCTAAACCACAAATACAATGGTGTCACCAACCTGCCAAAAAGACTTAAATTTTAAATGTTAATGTTTTAAACTAGTTTGGGGGGCGATAAATCTTGGTCTGAATTGCTTTTTTGTATGAATCACAAACCAGTTTATATTAACCAATGCCAACATATATGTTACCTGGTCTACAACTTTTTTTTTTTTTAATAAGGAGCATCAGTTAAAATGTTAGGTACACTTTGAAGTATGCACAGATTATGTTTCCATAAACAGCTGAATTTGTAGCACCAATATTTTAGCTTTAACATGAGCACTGCTGGAGTCAGTGGTTAACTGGGAAGAAGAAAGGCTTTGAATGACAAACATTTTAGTGTAAGTGAAGTGGTAAATCATTAGATGCAAATACTGACTTACAGCCAATTTTGAAGCCATTACGTATTTCGTTAGAGAAGTATTCTCTTAAAAAAAAATTAAAAAGTCAACCATGATACTTTTTCTTTTTACACATCAGAATGTACTTGCTTGGTTTGTATACAACTGTATCATACAGACTGAATTTGAATCAGGTATTAGGGGATGCTTTAAATTTAAGAATTGAGACACAAAAAGCTTACATTAAAGAACAAAGTAATGCAATCCAGTTCATGTTCGAGTGTAAGCAGGACCAATGCAGGATGACTTTTTGTAGGAACCAGTATAAAAGAAAAACAGGTAGGTTAAATTGTGACACTTTCAGTGCAAAACTTCAATGGAAGGGGTAAGTTTCATTTTTGTAGCAACCACTGTAAAATCCACACTACAACTTCAGTTTATCTGGTAACTTCTGTATTATAAATACAATGTGGTAGGTTAATATGATGTAAGGTATATTTCATCACAACCTCCTGTGAAACTATATATTAGTACTTTCTACCATGTTGCTGAAGTCAGTCTTAAAACCATGATGTGGCACCTAGTTCAAATCATTTATTATTAGGCACTTAAATAAAGATTTAACAGCCTAACATTCAAATCTGAAAATTCTGGCCATTATTTTTAAATGGAGGGAAATCTAAGCAAAACTAATACCAAATCCTCTTTTTTTACCACTGAACAGAATTGTTTTTTCCTGCAAAAAGTCACAAATTTATTACACACGTTAAAAAACTTAATAGATGTAAAACGCTTCTGTTCCATCTCCTTACAGCACAGACCAGGTTTCAGACAGCTATGGAATTTTTATTTAAACTAAACCAGAAGATTTTTGGGTCCAAATAAACAAACTGTGTGTGTTAACTTCACTCGTGTGGTCTGAACACACATTTTTGTGCAAATATGTATATCCTTGAAAAACTTGTATAATTATGTTCCTTTTTACAAAATCGGTCTGTAGTTACCATATAACTTGGGAGGGTCTACAAGTAAGGACAATTAAGGAAAAAGTTGCTTGTTTTTAAAATGCATAAATAATTTACTTTAAAACATGACAAAACCCACCCTGTCCCCCAAAAAACACAGTTTGTAGAGAATACAGAACACCATCATTGGGGAAATACTGATATATGTTAGTGCTTGTACACTCATAAAATTGCAAAACCATGTTTTGAAGTGAAACATAATTGTCTAGACGTACCGTACTCCTCTGGGGCAGGGTGGGGGGAGAACCTCTTCAGAAATCTCATGTCTAACTACTATTTATGCAATGAAATTACACAGTATGTATAACTATAGATGAATATATTCCAGTGTTTTGGTGTTATCTTGATTTGGTGTTATCTCAAGAGGGCTGCAATAAACATAAAATCAAATGTGCAAGCATTATACTTCCTCCAGCCCAGGCTTAACCAGAGTGAAACAAATTTTGGAAAAAAGTTTTCTTCCATAATTCAGAAGGGACGTGTGTAACCAAGTGTCTTAACCTATCTGCACATTTAATTAAAGTGCAAATTATTTCTTCCTACATATACTTCTCAGAAGCCCACCAACTCCAGTGCCTTAAGCTCAACCACATTGAGTTAAAATATAGAAACAACATTTAGCAACTTAAATAGAATTCACACTTCACAGCACTAAAGAAAAGAATGGTACCTTTCCGGAAAAAAAAAAATTAGTGATACAAATCTAAAGAAAGTAACAGCAATTTATGCTATGACATGAGTCATTTGCATAAAACTTGTATTTTTTCCACTTTCATACAAGAATAAATTTTAAAATTCAAAAGTAGAAAAAAATATCAAACTCTGTAAACCTTTGCATTTTCTTTATGCAAACCATTTTTTGTGTGTTGAGCCCATGTTAGTATAGCAAAATTAGTTAAGGAAGAGGTTTCACTGAAAGGGCATTTCAGCGACTACATTAACTTAGAAGCAATATAGGATCTTCTAGCTCATAGAAAGGAATTGAACTAGACTGGCTTTCTCCAGAGTCTGAGTCATAAGGAGCATCAGGTAGCTCCATAAAACCGTAAGCTAGCTGCTCATCTTCTGTATCTGATCGAACATAGCAGGAAGTGTTGGAATACTCCTCATCCTCTATACTGTTGAAATCCTGTGGGATATACAACATTCCTGGGTAGTTCCTGCTAACCAAGTCACTTGTCGTTTGCAGGGAAGTTTTCCTAAATGCCATCAGATGCATGTGAGAAAACTTGGAATACTTGAAGCGTTTAAAACCCAAGGACTCTATGGCAATTTTCCAGCTTTTCATCATCATAGCCCGGCGATTCTGATGAGATGAATCAGGAGTTATTACAAGCAGTAAGCCATTTAATACGAGAAGTTCATGTGCCTTCTTGCAGCATATCCATCGTTGATAGGGTGAAGGAAAGTAAGAAAGGAGGAGTGAGAAAACGACAACATGGAACAGTTCTCCAGGTAGAGAATCAATGGGATTTTTCAGTTGCTTAAGAAAGGCATCTATAGCATCTTGTGCCAGTTGGAGAGGTTGCTGAATTTGAAGATTTAAGAAGTCACACTTGTATACGCTCTGGTGGAATAAGAAAAACAGAAAAAGCCAAACAAACATCAAGGTTAGTTTAAAGAGCAAATACAATTCAAGCCTACAGAATGATCAGTGATAATCTCTTAACATCCCCCCTTATTAAAAAATCAAACAATCCAAACTAACAATTTAAAAATAATGCTTATTTCCAGCATTTCATGTGCAGTAATTTGCTGGAGATTTGATAGCTGAGAACTGTTCATTTAAAAAAAAAAATTTAGCCTGAATAAAACAAAGTGTGAAATCAACTGTCTCACAGATGATTTTAAAAGAACTCAGGTAAGCCTGCATTGCTTTTGTTTCTCCAGATGCTGGAAGCCAAAAGTATCCCCTATTGACTGCCAAAATTCCATGTTTTCCCAGTGTACCATAAATTGTCAAGATAGTTGCATATTAAAATGTGGCAATAGCCTGAAACAATGGCGTTCTTAAAATTTACATCTACATTATGTGGTGGTTTGTTTTTTGCCTTTTATTTTTTTTTTTTTTAATAAACCTGAAATCAGTAATTAGAAAGTTTGATACCTCAGTATTTCTACCAGTTCTTTAAAGAATCCAGGAAATTTAGTAGTTTGGTCACTTGGAAAAAAGTTACATTCCTTACTGGCACAGAAACATAAAGAAGTTACAGCAAGGCAAGATATGTTAGAAAATTACAGCACACTAACTGCTTTGCAGCCGTGATGCAGGTCCATGTTTTAACCTTGCTGTAAAGGCAAAGTGTAGTGGTACACATTTGGGCAGTTATCAAAGGAAGGTAAGGGCTTTAAATGAATCTGTTGATCATTTGTGTGCTCGAGCCATTGAAGACTGGAAATTACACCACAATACAACATACAGAAGGATAAGTTCTTAACACCCTTATCACAGAGCACTCAAAAAATGAGTAACTGTATGCTATTGACTATGTTTAAGTTTTGACACTTTAATAGTCATCAAAACCTGGGCTGATCTCTCTCATAAAACAGATATTAAGATACAAGGCTTCAACATGATAGCAACAAAAATTGTTGTTAACGCCTAGAGAATGTGCAGTGAATGACAGATTTCTAAACAGGTAAGTGAACATAAAAGCAGCGCCAAAACATTCTGCGGAGCACATCTGAAAGGTGGAGCTAGATCTGTTGCATTTTCATACTGCAAAAATATTTATAGCATGTTTTATGAAACAATATTCAAAAAAAGAGATCACTAGAACACTATTGTAAAGGTATTCATAAAGCAACTGATGTGCACAATTGCTTCCAAGTAGAAGAGAACATTATTTCTGTTCATATAAAATCACATTCTCTTCTGAGAATATGCAGTAAATTAGAAAAAGTAATCAGTGCTCATAAAAAACCCCCTGTGATTCATTTTTCAGTAGCTTTACTCTTGGCCTCCAATTTGCCAAAATCAAGAAAGGGACTTGCATTATGTGGCTATAATCAAGAAATTTTAATTGCAACCATTATACCTGCAGGGCTATTTTCTGCTTCCTTGTAATATTTAGAACAGGAAATTAACACTAGTAATTTCATGATATTCTCTAATAAGTTTTAAAGGAAAGAAATGCTTTGAAGAATAATTGTTCAGAGTAACATGCTAACTATACTTAGAAGCAAGACATAAAAAGTTAGAGGTTATACATACACAGTTGACAAAACAATTTAGACTGCAAGTATTTCTCAGTATTGGAAAAATATTCATAAAACATTATGCAGAAATAACGTTAAAGAATTTCAGGGCTAAAGCATGTTCCAAGTGGAATTTGAACTCTGCAGGCAGTTTTAGGACAAAAATGCTCCTAAACTGGAGATTGCTACTGAACTCTAGATATACAAGTCTTGAACTGATGTTAAAGTCCTAGACAGTGAAACAGCAGTCATATTTCAGTGCATCCACTGACATTTAAGAACACAATCCTACTTGTATTTTCAAGCTTTTAATTCCAGTACTCTTCCAGCCTCTTTTTTTTGGTCTCAGACTATATTTATTCCAATACAACAACATGTTTCCTAGCAGTATGAAATTATATTCGGATTTTCTCAAAGTGGAGATTCTCCCTTCATTCCAATTTTGCCTTTTTTTTTTTTTTTTTAAGTGTAGACAAATTAAACTCCTCCAAGAAAATAACCACTGCTAATTATACCCCAGAATATCTGTGTTACAGGCAGAATGTTTGAAGGAATGGCCAACAAAAACACCAAGTCAAGAAGAAACCTGCTCTGCGTACCCCTGTCTCAGTTCCCTCTTCCTACTTGATAATACTGCATGTTTCCCTCAGCGTACCTTACACCAAGACACTGGAAGTGATGAGTGAACAATGCCAATTGAAGAGAATACCAATCTCTTCTTGGTGCAGACCCACCCCAATCAAAACACAAAGCCAGATTACCATACTCCCATATTCACAGCTCTACAGTTCACATTTTCGCTCTGAAACACACAGATTCTGAACAGTTTGAAGACATTAATTCTTTTATTATATAACTAACATTTCAGGTCCTCTCCTACTTTTCCCACAATTACATCCTTATTCCTCAAGTTAGCTCAAGTATTTTACTCACCTACTTGGTCTGTATCCAGAGCATTTATATATGCAGAAAGTGGATTAACCTATTTTTATTAATAAAGAAGGAATTATTTAACCCTCTATTTAATATTATTAAAGAAACTGACTTCCTAAGAAGCCTCTATGCTTCAATGTGTTTAAAAAAGTATTTTGGTATCTTATCTAAAACATCTGCTAAAATAGAAGATTTTACCAGTTCTTCTATTTTCTGCTTCTACCACTAAGTTATCAGATCCATTTTTCAGGTCAGACAATGACATTAGCTACCATAAGAACCCTCTGGCTGTTATTCTGAAGTCTTAAATCAGTGCAGGCAACTGCTGGCCTAAAGATAAATTTATTCAGTAGGTTATGGTGCTGATGCAGCTCAAAGTAGAGTCATCTTGAATACATCAGGGCTTATTAATTCTGTTTTGGAGGTAAGCCTAAGCTTATTCCAGGAGATGAGTTTGAGTGCACAAATTGTACTCCATGTCACCCCAAGGACGCTTGCTAGCTAGGCTGCAAGGTGCCCTGAACACACCAAGTATCCAAGAGGATGGAAACAAGAGAAGCTGCTGAGCCCGAGACAGGCCTCACAGTAACTACGCTGAATTGTATAGTAGCACTCTGTGCAGTTCCTATCATCAAGCTATGGTACTATGTGTCAGACGACAAGAAATCAATTATCTTATCGTTCCCTTGTACTGGGAGAGGGCCTGAAAAACTGGTTAGTACACAGAAATTGCAGCTACCTGACTACTTCCTCTCCTGTTGTCCAGCCTGGATTACTCATATTCCTCCATTACATCCACAGAAGTAACCTTTCTGGGACTCTTCCAATAATGGTTGGTCACCGTATATTTAAATTGATTTTCATGAGAACAAAAGTAATTGTCTTATGAAAACAGCATGATAGACTGAATAGCAAAATATTAACTATCCATACACCAAAATCAATGGTTAGATTCAGCTCATGTAACTTCAGGTGCCTAAGCTCCCATTGTAGTCACTGGAGAGCTAGTCAATACAGCCCATGAGGTCAGAACACAATTCACCTCACCGTGAAACACCAGATGCTTAGGTTTCACTGACTATTTTTAATAGAACTCCACTGACTGCAATTGGAACGTAGAACCTTAGATGTAGACACCCATGCTCTATGTATCTTAGCTGGAAATTTACTTGCCCTGTATTACCATTTTAGATGCCACAGGCTGCCACTTCAGTGGCACGTGTCTCCTTTACATCCTGTGTCATGGCCAACAGTTCTATGCAGATGTCCTTCCAGTGGTGGAAGGCAATGATGTTTGGGCAACCGATGCCTATGCTTCAAATTAGGCAAGATGGAGTCCACTCAAAGCTTCTTTGTGTTTTAGATGAAACTAACATTGAATTGCTTTAAAAAGCAATTTATCAGACTCAGATTTTTTTTTTCCCCAAGAATATCTTTTGTTATCTCTGAGCATAGCAAAAATAAAAAATTAGGCATTAGAGGGCTAAACGTGGTGACCACAACAAAATACCATGCATTTAGCATGTAAACCACACTGCAGCAAATAAGAGAACATTACTTTCAAGTTAACTGTATTATTGTACTTGTACACTTCTCACCTCTCCACTTCTAGAGGGGGTTACCTTAGGCCACTGATTTTAATAGAGCCTGATTTTAAACTGTAAGTGATCAAAAGTTTTTCTGTTTTCTGTCAGAAACGCATTCCTTTCTGTATCTTTTAATTTTCACTCCACTTTGTCATTTTGCTTGGTTGATAAATGCTATTAGGACAAGCAAAAGTTGAGTGAACAGCAAAAGACAGAAAGAACATATTATTACAGTAGAATTAATGCATTTGAGAACCTTACTACCTAGAGAAAATGAAGCAATTTACCCCAGAAGTGCTGATAAATTTGTCCTCAGGATTGTGGAAGTTCAATAATATGTGTAGCAATAAACTGAAAAGCCCCCTTTACAGTGCACTTCTGGTTACTGAAACTCCCCAAGTACAGTCATTGATCATTTCCTTCTGTCAGCAAATGCAACTTCGGAGAGGTGCCATTTTTATTTATGCCTTTTAATATGCAAGGACTCATCTGAAATGCCATTAAAAGATGGCTACTAAAATTTTCCAATGTTAAGATTCACAACCGCATTATCAAGGCGTAACTCTTGAAAAAAATTAGATTTTTAAAACAAAAAACAACTACAGTTTAGAGCCTGTTCATGGAAAGGAGGTAGTAGGAGGGCCACAGTTCCTTTTAAAGCACAGATATTTAAGATACATACCTAAGTATTAAACACACTTTTTTTTTTTTTACAGTCATTTTGAAGCATTCTAAAATATCTGAGAATCAAATTTATATTAAATTCAGCAAACATTACATACCTCAACAGCTGGAACAATATCTATGCCAACTGTCAGAAATTCTTCAAACTTCAGAAATGGATTAAAGCAGCTACCAACATCAAGTAATCTGATCTTCCCCAAGGAGTGGAGCAACCTAAGAAGCAGCAAGAATTCAGTTTTATCAAATGTTATTTTTGAAGCTATATTCTGAATTACAATTTCAGATAACTACTGCAAAAAATTTCTCATAGAGCACCACAGTAGTGACTAATACAAGTGAATGCCTTACTTGAATTGCTGAGATACCTAAAGAACCAAGCTCCATCAGTAATGCAGATGGTCCTCAAGCAGAAAAGTTCATGTATGGAGCAGCTGTAATACTATTAACTTGTGTACTTGTAGTAAGAAACTAAAATGGCAACTTATGTGTCCACTAGACAGGCTCCGTCTATTGCTTTGTGTTTCCCGCTTACCTTTTTGTGGTATTTATTGGTGTTGAAGTCACACAAGTCACCAGAGTTAAAATTTCAGGAGATTAAAAGAGAAACTGACAACGCTCCATGACCTACCTACTTGTCAGTCTCATTTTAAAGGACATCTGAAGTCAAGTGCCATAATTGGTTTAATAAAAACAAGAGAACACGTAATGGTATTCCAAGGTAAACAAAAAAAATATCTAAAAATGAAAGCATTTAGTTTTTCCCTGCAAAAATTTTAAAATATTTTATTTAGTTTATGTTGGCTAATATTTTTGAAAACACTGGAGGTTCACTCCAATTCTATTTTCAATAGATACTGTGAAAGAGTTAGATCAGTCCATGCAGAGCCACAAAGTTAAAAACTGTCTGCTCAAGTTGTAGGGAAGTTATTCTAAACATTTAAATGAACTGAAGTATTCCCTCAAAACTACTTGGGAAAAAAAAAAAAGTCTATTCCATGCCATGTAATCAGTTTTCTTTTGGAGTATCCAAAAGCTTTTTAATGAGAAATAGTCAAAAATAGCCATCTGGTTTAGGAAGGAGAGTCCTAATCAGAGTACTTCTGAAGTTCTCAAAAATGAAGATTTATCCCATAAGAATTCTGGAGAACATTTTAGTAAGCCAAAAATCTCCTTATCTGCTACTGTGCCATGACCCTACTATTCAAGGTGAAATTATAGATAAGGTGGCCAGTGGCTGTAATGCTAAATACTTAACTATGCTACCAAACAACAAAAGGTGAATGATTAAAATAAAAAAAAAAAAAGATTAACTTGACAAATCATGACTTACTGCTTGGACTGATAGAAAGAGGTTGACAGACTGCTAAGGACACTTTAATAGTTTAGTTCCAGAATGCTGCAGAGATGCACATATGCCCTTCCAAAACATCATGGAAAAAAACTCAAAAAACCAAAAAAACAACAAAAAAAAAACCCAACGACAAAAAACCCCACACTGAGTAACTGGCCCATAATCTTCTCAACCAGATTCCAAAACTTCCTGGGGTAAAAAAAAACTGGAGGACCATGAGATCAGAAAGAAAACAGTAGACTGAAGAAATGAAGAGAAGACATTCTTGTCCTGTCTGGTGGAAGCTCCCATTATAGCACAGCAGAAGATATGCTAGAGGCTGGCAGATGAGATTTGCCTTTTCTTGGGAAGCTCTGACATCATCTGTGACCAACTGCAAAGCCAATCTGAAATGCCTTTATGAAGATAAAGACATCATTGCTCTTTTCTTTAAGTTAAATATATAGTTCATAAAAGAAAAGGAAAAAAGATGCCTGGCAACTTTTAAGGATAGTGACTGCTGCCTTGCCTCTGAAAGCATTCTTATCTTCCAAAGGACAGTCTCCTTGACCAATGCCTAGAGAAACGTTTGTGGTCTTCAAGTTCGCAACCATAGGCGTTTTCTTCATGACTAAGGCAGTTACCAGTTTATATAATGTAGCATCAGATAAGATCAATGCACCTGTACAAAAGTACTGGCAGTCAGCTATCTTGTCATCATCTAAAGGTTTTGCCTCATCCTCTTAAAAGAATTAGAATTTGAATGTCGCACTCAATTATCACTAATATCAAGGACTCAGCTGCTGAATACATCCTACAATCAAAGACATTGTTCTTCATTTTTTTATTTTTCTTGCATTCTGAATTTGGAGGCCACTGCTGTTTATTCTTTCTTTGCAATTGCAACAAACCAGTAAATGCTGAAGTTCAACAATTCTGTTCAAGTCCTCTAGTACAGACTTTATATCCGTCTGTTCTCTAAAACACAACTTGATGAGTGCATCCACATTATCAAGGAAAAAAAAAAAAAAAAAAGAAAATATACAGCACCACTAGCACCCAACAGTCTGAGCTCTTTCTGTTGGATCATTTACAGGGCTGCATCTAAAAATTTCCATCATGATTTGTAAGATCTTAGAATACCCAAAATCCATTAACAAAGGCAAACAAATGCAAACTCACAGCTTTCACAGGGAATAACTTCCCAGCAAGCAAATGTTGCTTTTTGCTTCAAGTTTCTGTAGCCAATTCCAACTGGCATCTCCAAAATATCATTTGTCATCTTGCTGAGAAAGATTCAGCCCTAGAGAGACAGATAACTGCAAAAAACTTTCAGAAACAGATCTGCAGGGCCAATGGTGTCCAACAAAGCCATGGTTGTATTCATAGCAACAACAAAGCAGTAAGGAATACTGCAGGAAAAAAAAATACCTTTAAGCTGTAATAAAGAGATCTGGGCTCTCTGCGCCTCGTAAACTATCAGTGATCTACCACAGAGGGATGTTGAGAAGCAAGAGAAGATTTCTTGTTGCATTCGGCAGAATAATAATGCCAAGTTTAAGGATTTTGCTTCTACGTGGAATAGAAGATATCCAGAGGATTCTGTCAAAATACCAGCATCACCAAGGCAAATAGTGCAACAATTATCTTTAAGTTAAAACTGCACACATTACCAGGCTACCCTGTAAGTCAGTCAGTACTGAGTGAGATTTTAGAATGAAGATCATAGCAACAATTTTTTCCCAGCTTGGATGCCAATCACAATGTAACCTGTACAACAGGAATCTGAGTACTGCAGAGGGACCATTCAGGTCTAAGTGGCCGTAAATCACAAACATGGGCTGAAGTCAAGTAGTGTCTTTTTCCACGTAAGGCTAGTATGACATTTCTCAGACCAGGACATCTCCTTGTCTAGGAAACAGAATCTGCCATTAGCGTCTCCTTCTCATTCAAACACAAAAACGTATGTCTGTATACGCGCTTACATTCTACATAAGAGTCCAATGGTAACAGCAAAAGAATAAAAGACACATGGGACCACAGGAAACAACAGATGGAACGCAACTCTCTAGTGCAGAGAAAACTTCCCATAAGAGTGACAGCCTCTAGAGATCTTAACATTTTCCATCTAAAGTGTTCGATGAAATACTTGTACAGATTAAAATTAAGCAACACAACCCAGAACCTCCTAATCTCTGGAAGAGCTCACTTCACTTACAGTAGAGTGAAAAATCACTGTGATGTGTTCTGTCTTCCTCTCTTACAAAACCTGCATTCTTGGCTGCAGTGCTATTTTTGACTGGGTGAAGGGGGACACAACTTCAGACTACTACAGCATTGGAGCACACTTCTGGAAAGCTACAACACTGGATTCCAAGCTGAGCAGAAGCCAGAAACTCTTTTCTGCACTAATGGACGACAGATCTAAGGCATTTGATACAGGACAAGTTCACTCTGATAGCTGTGTCACGGCCAAGGAGCCTTGTAGTCCAAGTTCAATGCAAATATACTTTGAAACCTTAAAAGTAGCAGAGATTCAGATGCTCACTTGTATCTTGACTTCCTGTTGCTTGTCAGGTTTTGCTGCCTCAGTAGTAATTTTCAGGCTGCCAGTTATCACTAGGAACAGGATCCTAGTTAGGTGCTTGAAATAATTTTGAAGCTCTTCAGAAGCACCTAGATTTGGTCACTGAACATATACAGAGAGCACAGACCACCAATTCAGATGGTCTGAAGACCACTGGTTCAGATACCTACATTTTCAGCACTGTAACTCTTAAGCCAAATTCCTCAGTGAGAATGTAACTGTAATCTAGGTGATGATCACTGATCCAGTGACTTTGTTAGGAACGTAGTCTTGCTGAATTCACTGATAATCACCCTTCAACCCCCCATTTCCTAATGATTTTCAGTCAAAGTGACATTAAAAGCAAGGGGAGTATTTTGCCACTGTAGGTAATCTCCAAGCACATCTTGAATCCACAGTTCTCCGATGCATTAGTGTACAGGTAGAAAAACAAGATGTGAATAGTTAAAGATAAGGAACTGGTAATGAAGTGTATATAACCTGGGAAATGAGTGCATTTTAAATATATACCACACTTGTTTATTTCAAGAACTTTATTAAATGGACTGCAGCTCTTGATTATTATCCCCCTTAAAAATGCACCTATTATTCAAGTAGGTGCTCTACAGGTAAGTGACATTTTCTCTTGGAAGTAGATAGAAATAGAGCAGTTAAAGTGAATTTCCTTATGGTCATATATCTCTGAAATTAATGACTTCAAGTGCTGATCTCCTAGTTTACAGTTTTCAATTACTCTATTATTTATCAAGGATGGGAGGTGAAAAAAATTCAGAAGCCTTATGCTGCTGTCAGAAGAGCAGAACACAGCTGTACATCTAATTCTGAGTGGCAACACTGGAATGCTTCAAATCTTTCATAACATCCATGCATAAAGATATTCAATGGGAAGGTCTAGCTTGCTGAGATACATATGAAAGAAGGAATGATAGGTTATGCCTTAAGAGACAGTCAAACCAGCACCTGAGAAGAATCCATACCAAAAAGGTTGTGATTTTTACCATTAAGGATAAAAAGCAAGACTGCTTAACTTGATGGAAAAAAGAAGAGAAACAATACTCAAAAAAAGAACAGAGCAGGGACTGATTTATTGAAGGGAGGAGCTGTTAAGCAGCAGATAACAGCCACTTTTATCTTGCAAGACTGAGCCACTTTGATATCCAGCTTCACAACAGGTGCAGTTGTAATGTTAGAGACATAAGAACTCATTCTGGGATGGAAGGAAGTACTGTGGACAATACATTACTTTTCATATAGATGAAGTAAAAAAGGACTGTTCACATTAGTTACTTCTGTGAGACCCACCAATTTTAATCTGGCAAAGAGGTGAGCAACACGAGCAACTGGAAATGGGTTCAAAGTAGCTGAGTGACTGAGGTGCAGTACACTTTGTACTTCTGGTTCCTATGATGTTTCCTACCATCACCTTTAAGAGCTGGCTGAGTGCTTCTTGCTTCTCTCCACATCTCCCAGCGTCTTTTTCACTATCTGTGGAACCCTTTATTCCTGAGCTAGCTTTGCTCCTTACCAAGCAAAGTACAGTGGCTTGCCAGTAAAGGTAAGCTTAGAAAGAGCTCCTACATAAGCAAGCTGTTTTTAATACTACTTGAGAGATGATTATGTATGGGAAGAACAAGGTTATTGTCTTTACACTTAACAGAGTAAAACAAAAAGTCACAGGCTTAGCCATACCTATAGGCAACTCTTCAACTCTTATTTGTAGTGGTACATTACCAGAATGGAGTGACAGTATTTGAACAAGTGTGTGTGTGTGTAGGTTCCCTCATACCCCTTGTACCAAGACCTCACCAAGATTTTCAAAGACTTCACTAATTGATCAGTGCAGACATGGTAGAAAAGCATTTCAGGAGAACAGTATGCTTTGTGTAATACACAATCCATTTTCATTCTGATAAACTCTGTAATTTCTTCTATAAGGCATAGAGAAAGAAACTGAATTTTGATTTCTCTGGGCAGTAACTTGGAACAGCTATGCCTTGTTGTTTTAAGGTCTGTACGGCTACTAAAAACCTTAGTACCATTTGTTGCTTACTCAGGTAAATATCATAAATCTTGCCTTTGCCAGGTATGTCTTTATGGACGTATGTATTTTTAAAGTTTTAAGAATGATGATAAAAATCATCATCACTCACTATATTAACAAATACTTTTAAAGTTATTAAACAAAAACTTCTCTATTAACTACTTTCTATACACACTAGTCAGCATAAAAGGTCAGGCTACAGACTACTCGTAGCAAGAAGAAACTCATGTGAAGTTAGCTCGTCAACAGCCGTTATAAACTCCGTACAAAGTATGAAGATAGAGCACATGCAAAGAGAGCTAACGCTTTATCACGACAAGGCTTGCCACTGGAAGACAAACCAACGTTAAGTAGTGTGTGATCATCAAACCTACTGATTTAAACAAACAAGTACCAACAAATTGCTATTTATAGTAATGCTAAAATTATGTGTTAACAAATGCCAGCATTATTGAGATGTTATAAGGTATTAGCATCTCATCACCCCTTTGTGCGAAAGTGCCTGGCAGTTCTCATTAAAACAGGTATTCATTTTGATGCTGACTTAGCAAAATGAGCACTAAAAAGAGGAGTCAATGAGGGAAGTCAGCTCATGAGAAACCACTACCTTCATTTTGGAAGCATCTGTTTTGTCTTGTCATAATAGGACAACAATGGGGAAAATGTTTTCATTTTGCATGTAACTATTCAACTACATACGCATTTGGGAACTTTATGCCTTTTGCAAGTTACTTTACAAAGATGAGAAACCACAAAAGATGCCAGCTGGTAGGGACAGACACATCTGCTAACAACATCAGTAACATGCTCGTTCCTTTCCTAACTAGTACTGTATCTAACTTAAAGTAAGTGCTGATCACAGACGACATGCTACAATAATGAGAAAAACCTCTTCACGGAACAGAAAAAACATTATTGCAGACAGTTGTAGGAACTAGTCTACAAAGAATACGAAGCAAGATCATAATTGTAACATTTAATGATAAGATGCTTATGCATTCATTATTCCATTATACTTGCAAAATATTAAATTCTTTCCATCACACATGGAATAGCCACAAACACGACCCATGTTATTTAGGAAAAAAGGAGGGTGGGACTGTAACTGAAATAAAGCTACTCCTGAATGCCAAAAAAAAAATTCTTACTTGAGTGAAGGTCAAAAACAAAATTAAAACTGTTGCTAGGAAAATACCTCAAGGATACTACAACTTCTGCAGAGCCAGTCATCAGAAAGCTAGCACATGTAAAATTAAGGGTTATAATTCAAAATTGCTTTTGAAGTGTATAATTGGAATCAAGAGTTTCTCTGCAATTACTTATGAAGAGAAAGTTTTAAGTACTCTGATATTTACATTTGGCACTTAGTACTTACATAAGCAATTGACTTTTCAACAATGCTGAACAGCCATTAGATTCTAACTTAATTAACGTCTCCCTTATTTCACCTCAAGGTTTAATATAAATTGCATTGCACACCAATGACATACAAAAGCGAAATTGCTCTAACACTTAAATGAAGATGACTAAGTTGTCATTCTCAAGCAATTTTTTATGGCATCCACCAAAATATACTACAACATAGCTATTTCTTGAAACATGTATATCTGTTCACATGAAAATGCCCTTTCTTAACTATTAAAAGTACATCAGACTGATCTAATGTGTTATGGGGAAAAAATGTCCAGGTAAGTCTTATCACACATAGAAGGGAAAAAAAAGTCTGGAAAACAAGTAAAACTTACTCTTCTGTTATAGCTTCATGATTTGTCAAGCCAAAGTTTGGCAAGGGATCTTCAATCTTGGGAGCCTGGGGAACATTTAAAGCTGGAGTGGTCTTGGAAGCAAGAAGTGCTCTTTTTTCATCTTTCTCAAGTGCTTTTCTTTTCCCACCATTCTGAAAATATTCTCGGCACACACTGAAAAAAACAAAAAGTAAAATTCCCCAGAAAAACAGAATGCTATTTTTGGTCGCTACTATAGATAAGACGGAAGACAGAGGTTTAAAAGACACAAGCACTGTCAGCTTTTAAATAAATCTGGGTGTTACTGCAACTTTTGTAAATCAGCTTTAGGAAAGATGCAATACACCCGAAGACACATCTGAAGTCGATTGGTGTTTTATTTCCAGAAATTAGGTTGTAAGCCACAGCTGAGTAAACAGATTCAAAATAGTTTTATCTGGATAGACTTTTAGAGCAAGACAGCAGAAGTCTTGTCAGAACATCGCCACAGGGTAAACTGCAGCTGTCACCTGAGCACCACAGTTCTCCACTAAGGTGCAAACAGTTATTAACTAGCTCCCCATAAATGCAGGGGCTTTTGAAACATCTGTGTCTTGCAAGGCATATAATGTGGGGGAAAAGAAACATAATCCAGGTTTATGGGCTAATTTACATACACCAGTTTTTAATTTTAATTGAGTTTGCCTAGGGTGCTTTTTGTTTTTAAGTAACAGATATCTGCAGTAGCTGTATTATTATGGAAGACTTATTTTAACTTTCAACTTTTTCCCATACTTAATTATTGTGCTAATAGGAACCAGAACAAAATAATCTGGTCACACTCAAACAGAACTGTTAATCAGTTTAAAAGAATTAATGTTATGAAAAAAGTAAAATTGCACCTGCATACTTCAACCAGTAGTCAGCATTAGTGTATGAGAAGCAAGAATCATGTGCGAGAATAACCGAATTTTGTCCAAAAAATAGAACTAGAATTGGAAACAATTTGTTGCTGTGAAATTAAAAAGCCTGACTCACCTGGCACAAAGCAGTATTTTTAATTAGATGTGCCAGCCAAGTATTTGCACGAAAAGTTTAACAGAAATAGTGCTTGTTTGAATGATGTTTTCATAACAACCCATTTTTATGATGCTTTCTTGAAACTCACTCAATTTTCCTCTAACAAAGCTGTACAGGTTTGAAGGAAACATTCCAGAAAACATGAATTCAAGTGTAGTTTAATACCACCTTATACAAAGCAGGATCAAGATAACATAGTATTTCACATCACAGATTCAGGAAAGGACATGTTGGTATAATGCTGCATTTAAATCACAAATAGGGACAAGGACTTGGAATACACAGGCCTTATCTAAGGGTTGGTGATATAGGCATCGAATATATCCGGCCTCTCCACCATATAAGATGTGAATGAAAAGAAAAAAAAAAAAAAAGTCAGTGGAGTTGAGTTTCTTAAAGGGAAACATACACAATCAAACAGGTACAGATAAAAGTTGCTTTACTCCAAGCTGGTAGGAAATGAACACCTTGAATCAGTAAATATATAATTACAGTAGCACATTATGTCCCAGTTACTAATTCTTGCTGTGAGGGGTGGGGGGGGGAAGTTATCCTGGACTCATTTCTGTGCTGACATGCTTACAGGACCTCAAGATCAAAACTGACCTGCGTCTAAAACTCAAAGCACAAGCAAGTTTTACTTGCTCAAGCAGGCCCTAGGCGTTCTTGCACTAAATACAAAAAGTCTAAAATGCAGACAGGAACCTTACAGGAGAACACACAGCTCTATGAGAAATAAACTCAGCAAACATTATATTTATAATCAACAAGCTTATAGTTACAATTCCTCAGCAATCAAAGCTCTTTGAATATCAAAGATATACAGACTGAAACGATACCAACTCCATCCCTTAGAGATTGCACATATGGAAAGACAACAATTCTAAAATTAACAAAGTGAAAGTAAAAGGAGTCAGTCATTTAACTTAGCAGGAAAGAGATTAAAAACATCAGTGAACAAAAAAGAACCTTAGAAAACCACTTGAATTATTGCTGGTGTGCTAATAAAAGTTGTATTTTACACTATATTGTATTATTTGTTTATAAGCATATGATCAATTTAGGTATTATGTCTTTCCTAACTATTTAGTTCTGTGTGTCATTTACTCAAAGAAATGAAACTCAGGAAAAAAAAAATAAAAAAATCTTTTTCCTCACTGTTTATCAGCTACCTTACTACTTTGTCAGCATCTTACAGTCACTGTATTTTTATTCTTTTTTCTCTCGTTATAACTCTTAAAACATCCAGAATCAGTGGCAGTTTAAACAGTGTTGCACTGCCATCAAAAAGTTCCCAACCTAGGGGGAATGTATTGTTTTTTCTCCTCAGCTATTGATGTTATCAGCTTTTTAATTTACTAGAAGCTGGTATGTTGCCCACCTTACCACTTAACGAGCTGTTGCACAAGAGAACCACCTACTTGTAAAGTGTAGTGTAAGCTCCTCTTGTCACCTAGAAGCCATTTCGTCCTCATTCTTGTTACTGGTGCAAATTAGTATTTTTTCCACCCGTCTACCCCTGTCTATCGTGTCAACTGAGTTCTCATAATTCTATGTTCTTCTTAACTGACCTTTCTTGTCTGCACAAGAGACATTATCAAAGTCAACCATGAGAAGAAGCATCTTCTACTCCTTTTTTTTGCTGGTGGATGGAGGGGCCAGAGCCACAAGAGGGCCCAAGAATGGGTAAAATTCTTCATATTCAGATCCCAGTCTGTATACCTCTGCAGTACCACAAGGAAGCAAAAAAAAAAAAAAAAAAAAAAAAAAAAAAACCCCCCCAAAAAACCCCCAAAAAAAAACAAAAAAACCCCCCAAAAAAGCTGACAGGGAGAGGGGTGAGGGGCAATAGGATTTAC